TTCAAAAGCGATTATGGGGCCCTGTTGGCGATTAATTATTTTCCAATCTTACTACCATTCTCCTATGGACGAAACCTCGCAAACTTATTGCTGCTCTATCGCTATTTCCATGGCAAGTGTTCTGACGAGCCTAATTCTTTAGTCCCATCAATTCACATCTACACATCTAAGATCCGTCATGCCAAGAACACAAGACTTAAATCATGCTTATTTCCTTCGTATTCCATTAGTAAGCTGGGTGAAGAAAAAGAGTATTCATACCTTTTCAAATGGTATTAGAACGTAAGTGAATGGATCCCACTTACGAGCCCATAGCAGAGCGTTTAGTCAGGTATAAATGATGGAAGTAACACAAAAAAGCCGCCAAGTGAAGAGATCATCTTCTGAGAAGAAGTGACAAACACCATGTTTGTGTGTATGTGTTGTAGAGTAGTTTTCACAGTGGAGGCTTGTATTTCACTAAGTCAGTCCTAAATGGGTCCGACGTACAAAACGTTAGGAACTTGAAAATAATAGTTAATGACGCAGCAATCTAGTTGTGGTGGCTCATACCTTAATATCCGACATCGACTGACTCCCTCAACTCCACTGAGCCCCCTGGCTACTGCTACTACTACTACTTATTATATCTGGGAGAGTCTATTAACCATAGAATAGGTATGTTCCGGTATAACAGTATGTAAATTTCAGAAAGGCATTTCATTACGCATAAATCTTAAATGAATTATCAAAATCTTTAAACCAAAAGAAGAAAAAATAAGAGAGAAGGCGCCAGTTAAAACTGACATCTTTTTTTCCCCAAGAATTCCGACCAAAATATTATGGGATGTATTTTATTTAATGTTCAACTTTTCTTGATTTCAAATAAAAACTTTGATAATTTCCAACTTATTTCAGTGAAATGTTTTACTTTCAAAAATTAAATTTTATAATTATAGTTTAGATTGATAGGAAAAACATCAGTCTTTGTGTCAAAAAGACAAAGTACCCAATGAGGATCGAAGTCATTTTTAAAGCAGACAATTTCAAAAGGGGGAGTAACTCCTTATTGAATAACTTCAAGACCAGACTGCGCCCAAATATGAAACATTTAATATAGAATTATAAAAAAAGCATAAGAAGGAAGACATTGCAAAAAAAAATGGTTAGATCAGAAAAATAGATTTATCTTCATTTGAATACAGGAGAAAATTAAAAAAAAAAAGAAGATTTTTGTTGGTATTCAATCAATTTTATTAGATTTGTTTTTTTGTTTTTTTCATTATTTTCGAATTTTTTCTTAATTAAATATCCAGCCCCAAATAAAGTTATACAATGAAAAACTGATCAGAAATTTTATAGAACAAGAAGTGTAGAAATATATATATATATATATATATATATATATATATATATATATAACAGGTAATAAATCCGTTGGTATATAATCCAAGTGGATCCTAGCAATCTCAAATCTTAAAATTGACCCACAAAAAGAGCTCAATTTATGCATTATAACAGACCATATAATTTACACAACAAAATCAAAAATTACTTCATATATAATTTGAGTTAATTTTGTTGTTGTTGTTTGTTTGTTTGTTTGTTTGTGTGTGTGTGTGTGTGTGTGTGTGTGTGTGTGTGTGTGTGTAAAGCTTCATCTCACTTTTTACTTGAAATCATTTTTCTTGTTATCATTTCCTGTTAAAAGTGTTGATAATTAAAAAAAAAAAAACCTACACGAAAAGGGGATGCGTCGTCTTTAGTGTCCAACAAATAATTACTTCCCAAAGAAGTGTTTACCGTGAAAACTTGTCATCTTTTTTTTTCTCGTGAAGAATACACAGATTTGAATCATTCTTATTTCCTTCGTATTCCATTGTTAAGCATCTTTATATCTGCTTGTGACACAAAGGATACAGACGATGAAGCTATTTGATAAGGTAAAGAAGGTTCACTTAAATTTGCATTTAATATCAGTTATTAGACTTCTACATATGAATAAAAATACGAAATGATGAGTTTCAATGGCTGAGTTAATACTCTGCATTATTTAATGGTTATTACGTCATCGTCTACTGTACATAGTTGTCCCTTCAACAGCAATAGCTCAGTTGTTATGATCTATTTAGGTCATGTTAATTGTTGTCCTAGCAGGATATGACAACACAACAATGACATTCAAATATACTATTGTTCATCAATCGGTCACCTGTAGTGTTAGAACAAACATTTTGCTCAGTTAAAAAAGTCATTTTTTAATTGAACTTATTATTATCATAACCAATATTTTTAAATATGACTTAAACGGCAACATTGATATATCTTAATAGATTTATCAGTTGATGACTGGGAAATATTAAACCAATCTAGAGAGGACAGTTCAAGTCAGACAGAAACAAACGCTGCCAAAATGTTCTTTTTCATCAAGCTTCATAATTCAATTTGGAACAGTCTTCATAGATTTTCTTGTCGCAGATAACAAAAAAAAAAGAAGAAATATTGAAATTTAAAAAAAAATTGATATAAAATTTTTGTTTCTCTTCAAATCTTTTCCTCAGATGTCAACAATTATGGTACAATACCAGTTTCCGTGCCTGTTTTTGCTTGATTTCGTGTCATGGACTTATTTTAACTCAATCAAAGACCGTCAACATTTATACATACACCCTTGTGCAAATTAATTGAAACACAACGAATAATTCCGTTATTATTTACTTTTTTTTCGTGTTTTTTCCAATGAAACATGACCCAGTGCACATGTTAGTACTTCGTATGTCCATTCCAAGAAGTCGTTCCTTGAAGATTGACCACAGAGTCTCGATTAGTTTTAAATCAGGAGAGTTTACGGGCCAGTCTCTAGTACTTTGATTTATTCACTGGTCAGGGTTGCCAGTGTGTTCGTGCAGTGTTACAATTTTCGTACGTTTTCTTTGAGTAACGTCCATCGCAGAAAATGACTGTAGGACACCTAATCGACAGTCGCGATAATAATGTCTGGAAGTGATAAAAATCTGATGCAATCACGAGTGAGGCAATATTTTCAAGAACAAACAAATTCCACCATACATCCTGAAAACAGATTCATATTACTGCACACTACTGCAAATGACCTAATCTGAGTAAAAAATAGAAATCAATTACACCCTGTCACTCCAGTGGGTCTAAAACTGTCTGTATGATAAAAGAAAGGAAACTAAAGCGGTTGTTTCAATTAATTTGCACAAGGGTGTATGTAAGCTTAGCTTACTCTAGCATATTCCCAGTGGTGTAAAACACTTGGTTATGATAGACGAGAATTTTTCGACATTTCTACATGGAATTTACTTTGCTCAACTTAATCTGGTAAAAGTCTCTATGGATATAAGGATCGAATCTGTTACAGCTTGCTTCACTATTTTACATTGCTCCACGGCTGTCACAGTTATTGGATTAACGTTTGCCTGGCATAAAACTACAATCTAGATGATGTTTGAAAACTCCGGAGAGAATGCTTTCCTGATCACTACAGTTTTAACCTCTTCAGGACTAGGGTCAACCTTTTATCTGTCCTACATATCCTTATAATCTACAAGTCATACGCTCATAAAACAACCTCACACTGTAATCCTCTACCTTGGGTGGCTCTTGAGTCTTTTATTGGGCGAACAATAGTATAAAAATATATAGTACTCTAGGTTGCTAGAGTTGTTCTTAAATATTTCTTTATGGTAAGGCACATAATCTCGTGCATTCATATATGTTATGTACATAGAAACACGTAGAAAGTAAAGGTTTGCATACATCTGCCCAATGGGGATCTGTAAACCTATTTGACAGAAATAATATATCTGCACATCGGAGGACTGATTTGCATAGCTGTAAGTAAGGATTGCACTTTTGGTGCCTGCTATAGAGTATTTATTATAACAAAAATGTTTTTTTAGGATGTGACTTGATTCATGGGACTGTTTGTTGCGACATCAAAAATCTTTTAATACTATCGAAATGTTTAAAATATCTGCACTCAGGATATGAGGTTAGGTGAAAAAAGTCACCATATTTTAAAAGTATTTCTACTGCCTCATTTACAAAAATTCCAATCTCTAATAACGGCAAAAAAAAAGAAAAAAAAACATTCTGAAGTTTTGAGTCGAAGTATTTTGATTATTTCATCGATTTTCCGGACTATTGAGACTTCATTTTCGTTTTATATCATTTCGTCTTTTAAAAGATGTTGCAGCCGGTGGTTGTTTTTTTTATCCCTTACAAATCTCATTTTCAATGCAGTTGTTCAACATAATCATAGAAGAAAAAAGATGACCAAATGCTGCGTATATAACATCCCGTGAAGTTGCTATATATAATATACGTCTGAAAACAAGATCTTTTTAAAAATTAATGAAACACTGCAAAATCATTATCCGGAGTGAAACAACTAAATCAGATTTAGCAGATAATGTATAAAAAGAATTAGAGGGATGTTAATCTTTACAGGAATACGATCAAGATGACAGAAGAAAAAATGAATAGCTAAAAAGAAGAGGAAGGCTCGCGTATAAGTTAATCAAAAAATAAATATATCATGTTCGTAGTTGTTTCGTAGGACACAGGAACTAGTGACATCAAAGAAAGAAATTTTAATCCTTAAAGTCTCCTGTATCCGATTGTTTAAAGCTTGTCAGCCATGCCAATGTAAACTCGTTTCCTGCAACAGGGAACTACAAGAGAATATATCTGAAGCTTACATGTCCTGACATTAACACGATTTACACAAGACCTTAACACCCAGTCATGTGATTCTTTTGTCTTCAAATTGAAAAGGTGGAAAAGAAGAAAAAACTTCCAAAGACCGGATGTAACACGTCATTGATTTAGGCAGAAGATTTATCTACCAGAGTGCTGCTTTGAAACAACAAAGATGAAGACATTAGCCGAAAAAAGATATATGGAATCATAAAAATAATCTTGTTTCTCAATTTTGCTTCATGACTATTTACTTTTTTTTTTTTTAATAAATATTATTTACCAACAGATTACACTCAGGAGCAAGGATCATCCTGGGAAGACCAGTCAGCCATTGCAATAAATGATCGGAGAATAGTAGGAAGCGGAAGTCTGTCTATCAGGGGAAGAATACTGGTATCACCGCTGGCTTCATTAAGTCTGCTTCGTATAGAGGCGCGACAGATCTCAGAAAGTTTAAACGGCATTTTTATACGCCAACGCAGCCATTCCAGTAGGTGGCGTCTTGCACTTCCGATATCCGAACCGGGTTGTACGAGTCTCATAAAAGAGCGGGAAAAGCTTGGCACTCGTCGGGAGCACTGGTCAATTTCGTCCCAGGTCAGCGAATAACCGGCCATCACATATAGCTTGACAAGACGCGTTTCGCACCTGTCAAACATGTCCACTAGTAGGCTGCGGCTGTATCGGCCACGTTTTTCAATGCGACAGCCGTTAAGAATAAGCATCGTGGCCACTTCGGTTTGGTCTATAGAAACGGCCGCAGAGAGGTGAGACCATAGGCCGTCACTATGGCTGAGATAACATCCGTGGCGGATAAAAGACTTCAACACGGGACCGATATTGTAGGAATTCCGAGATGCAATTCGGTAATAAAAGATGGCCGTCAAGAATGGCGACATATTGTTCCTTTGCGACTGATTAACGCATGCTCCGTGTTCCAGTAACTGGTTGATCATTATCTCGTTTCCCATACGAATTGCTTCGTAGAGAGGCGACCACTGGCAGCAGTTTAGAGCTCGAACCGACGCCCCACAGTTACAGAGCATTGTTACAAGTCCTTCGAGGTTTGATCGGGCGGCCCGATGAAGCGGTGTGTTGTGTTGACTGTCACATGTATTGACATCACAACCAAGAGCTACTAAACACATCGCAATGTCCACATGGCGGTGCTGACAGGCGATATGAAGGGGTGTCTGACCCTGGTTGTCTTTAGTATTGATGTCCCATCCGTTCTCGACAAACGTATAGATAAGCGGGAGGTTGCCTTTTTCAGAAGCCCAGTGGAGTGGAGTGCGTCCCGTTTGGTCTCGTAAGATGAAGTTATCACATCCATTGACCAGAAGTTCTTGAACATCAGAAAGGCGTCCATCTTTGGTTGCTTCGATGAGAGACCAGTCGCCTTCCACTGATTCGGGCATTTTCTCTGCTTGTACCTCCTCTGCGTCAGTCTACAACTGATAAGAATAGAAACATGTCAGTCAAGGTTCAAATCATTTCAGAAATAAAATACAAAAAAAAGAAAAAAAAGGAAACATCATCTTTCAAGCAGCATAACTAAGTGTTGCTTATTTTCAAAATTGTTTGCTCGATGTCAAATGGGATAACTTGTTAAACGTGGGCGGATGGCGCCGACTGAATTTGTTTCAGACACAGATGATTGTCTATTATTATAATTACTTGCTTTACTATCATCAACATCATTTTTTTAAGCGTTTCACCCAAAACAAAGCAGGAAGCCACTGGCACGCAAGGGGTTACAGAGAGTTGGAGCGAGAGCAAAGAGGAGTGATAGATGAAAGGATGAAGAGAAGGTTAGGGGATAGATCAAGGCATCAGGAGACGTTGATTGACATTACATTTAAATAGTTGGAGATTATAGCTATCAGGGAAACAAGAAAAGAAGAGGGAGTTTCACAAGCGAGAGGTGCGAGACATGAAGCTATTGGAGTAGAAGAGACGGCTACATTTAACAATTTCGACAGTGAAAGGGTGTGAGCGAGATGCCAGCCTAGTAGAACACTTAAATTCATGGAGTCTGGGAACCAGCGAAAGCAGTTACCATGAAAGTATTTGTAAAAAAGACAGAAGGAGGCGACGGCACGTCTGTGAGAGATCCACTGCAGACGAGATGCCAGATCAGGGCCAATTACATTGCATATCTGTCTCTGGATTTTATCAAGGACCTTGAGACAAACAGAAGGGATACCAGAACATATATGGCAACAATACTCCATGCAAGGGCGAGTAGTTGATTTGTAGATTTGAGGGATCGATTCCGGTGAGAAAAATTTCCTGGTGCTGCACAGGGAGCCAACTTTCCTTGCGGTGGACGAATCTATTGACTCAATGTATTTGTTCCATCTCAGGTCAGCAGTCAATGTAAGACCTAGCAGTCGCAAAGAGGTGCTCTCGGGAAGTTGAGCGCCAGATATTCTAATGGGGTGGGGGGATGGTTCTCAGTGGTGAATAATAGAAAGCAGTTTTGTTTTTGAGGCATTAAAATTAACCAGCTAATTCCTGCCCCAGTCCACAACCGATTGGAGGTCCTTTTCGAGACGAACGACCAGGTTAGTTTTGTCAGCGACACTAGATTTGTTTTTGAGGCAGGAGTAAATAGTAGTGTCGTCCGCGTAGATGCCTAATTGGGAACCTATGACGTCAGGAAGATCGTTGATGAAGATAAGGAACAGAGCAGGGCCTAGGGTAGAGCCTTGGGGAACACCTGCGTTCGTGGGACAGAAGCTGGAGGAGAATCGGCTGTGAACGACCTTCGATACACGGTTTGACAGGAATGATGCTACTTATAAATAGTGAGAGAGCAACTTAAGAAGAGAGAGAAGAGATACACTGGTGCCGACATGAACAATCTGAAATTTGCTGATGATATCTACCAGCTTTCAACTAACTACGAAACGAGGAACACGTAAATAAGTCTGCTTGCTGATGGAGACAAAGTTGGCGGGAAAATCCACCAGACTATTTTCCGTGGGATTAAAAGCGTCGTTTCGTGAATTTGGTAACATAGTAATTCCGCTGAGATCCGTAGACAAATAGGGCTGACCAAAGATGCATTCCAAAAGCTAAGAAGAGTATTAAGAGACAGGAGAGTTTCGTTGGCAACAAAGAAAAGAATACTGAGCTGTTAAGTGATATATGCCATCCTTTACGGCAGCGAATGTCGTACGGTCTCCTCAAAGATGAAGAAGAGACTCGAGGCAACGAACAGATGGTTCTACAGAAGGATGCTAAGGATATCATAGACCGAGTGCGTGAGCAACGATGAAGCTTTGGAGAGGATAAAAACAAGGAGGAAGCTTATACTTAACATCATGAAGAAACAGCAGGACACGTAACGAGAAAGGAGGGCTTGGAGAATCTGATACTCACAGGTCGAATAGAGGGGAATAGGGACAAAAGAAAGCAACGCATGGCATACCTAGCGGGCTTAAAGCATGTGGATGACAAAACATGGCCTGGGCTAAGTAGCAAAGGGACAAAATTTACTGAGAGTTACATGGAATAAGGGGGAAGTGGAGAGCCATGATCGCCCACGTCCGGAAGGGACACGGCACATAAAAAGAAGTCATTGCAATTTTAATCCACAGACGAACAATAACGGAGCAGTACTAAAATAAAAACTAGACGAGATATCTCGAGACATGAACAGAGAAACGTGAACAATCTACCTCTCGTAGATTAAATAAAAGGGTTCAGTTCAAGATTCTCTGTAGATTAGTCGGATCGACATATACCTGATGAAGGGCGGAAGTTACAACGGTTGAAACGATGTGATATCAACAACAACGATTAGGAGAATAGTGCTCATGTAAATAAGGTAAGTAAAATTGTCCTAAGTTCATAGTTTTTGTTGTATTGTTGTTCAAGTACTTTCGACACTCTTTTCAGTTATTAACAAGAACTGGATTCTCTCAGTATAATTGACAAGATATTGCTGACGACATTCCAGCATTTTCTGGTGAATTAGAATTCAAATTATTCCAAAGATGCGCGTATCGTTTTAGTGGCGCCATGAGTAAAACGGTTATACGGAGCTAGACTGCACCGGAACATTATTATTTTAAGTATTTTAAAGACACTTTAAAATAGCGCCTCCAATGGTGAAATATATTTCATGCGAGTTTGTTTCTTTTTTATAATAGATTCTAGTATTCTGAGTCGCTGTATATTTGTGTGTGCATATATACAAACACACACGCACACACATATATATGTGATAAAAATATAGTTTTAAGTTATACTATATTTATAGGTTAAAGTGTTCAATAAAAAAAGGATATAGCGTATGTAAATATAAAAGTGAAAAAATTGAAGACCAAGAAAAATTTTGGTGGTGATTTTGATTCTTTTTTCCCTATATATATATATATATATATATATATATATATATATATATATATATATATATATATATATATATATATATATTAATTTAAAAAAAACAGACCAAAAAAGGCTCCATTTGTTATAATTCATTTCATTTAGAGAATTTTTTATTTTCTCTGGATCATCAGACTTCACTTTAAAAAAAAGGTAAAACGTAAAATGAATTTAAAATTTACACTTTTTTATGGGCAGTATGAAAATTATATAGGCTAACATAGAGGGTGTTGAGGAATAGTGTGTGAGACATGGTCGAATTTAGAAAGAGAAGGGAGAGTTTTAAAATTTATATATATATATATATATATATATATATATATATTGCACAGACAGAAATATATATATACACACACATACACATATATATATACGGACAGACAGACATGTATATATACACAGACAGACATATATACATATACACAGACAGACAGACATATATATATATATATATATATATATATATAGAGAGAGAGAGAGAGAGAGAGAGAGAGAGAGTGGAAGAGAGAGAGAGAGAGAGGACATATATGTTAACACTGGTGATTGTCAAAAAGTGATCATCAGACTCAGACTAAACAGTTCACACACACTATATATATATATATATATATATACACATCTCTGGCTTACGACCAAATCACGTTGAAACACCGGTTCTCGCACTGTCACCAAAGTTAAAGAACGTCGACCCCGATTAGTATTTAAATGGGTTATCGCCTGGGAATATAAGCATGAATGTGCAGGTGGTGCAATGGATAATGGCTCATAAATGAAAATCTGCAAACCGAGTTCCAATTCTAGTCAGGTACGTTATATTCGCTTACCCCTGGGAAACGTATAAATCCACCTTTTCTTCCTCCAGCTATGGGTTAAATAGTATAACTTGCATCAGGAAATCATTATTATCTGAAAAAATTCTTACAATTTAAAAATATTTTCTGGCTTTAAATAACTGCATGAAGCCGTAGATAACAAACAATAAAACAATCTACAAAATTTAAAACCCTACCCCCAAAATAATGCAATTTTTGAACATATATATATGTATATCTGTGTCTATGTGTGTATTATTAGGTATTAAGTATTTCGAGTTATGTTGTTTTTACGGTTATTCATATTTAATATAGAATAATAAAAATATTTTCCTGAAAAACAGTAAGAAAAAAAATGGTAAGCAACTCGTCAAAAGAATCACAACTTTGGCAGCTTAATAATCGGAGAAGCGAGACATATTGGCAGCGTAAATAAGAACAAAACGAAAAAGTCTGAAACTTAAGATGCCTCTCGTCTACCGATAAATACAACCTGCCTGTCAGTGTTTCTACGCTGTAATAAGATGAAGATTAAAAAAGAAAATGACATATGAAAGTGAAATAGTCTTCAAACAAAAGCATAAAAAATCAATCGAAAAATAAAGAAACAAAACATCATTTATATATAACAAATCAATTCGTAAATATAAAATATATCATTGACCTGTTGTGCTTGTTCGATCTCATTCATAGGAGGGACGATTGCAAGGTTAGTTTCCGGGCAGGTCGTCAGCTTCTTTAAGCAATTATTCACAGTGCTTTTCTTATTTCGTTTCTCTTCATAATACATTTGAGAAAATTATTTTTCCTGGGTGAAAATAGTTTTTCGGGTATATTTCAAAGCTTTTGACAGTCTCAGTAATTTACAATGTTATTATTATTAATTTCCGGACAACCTTGAGGGCGTTTGTTCTTAAAAAAAAAAAAAAAAACGTGGGCAGTCCACAAAATAGTATTCTCCCTTTCCCATGAAGAAGATTTCGAGATAATCACGTGGAGAATATATTTCTATTTTGATTGGTTAGAATTTGGCAGATACTGCTTCTGATTGGATAATAAAAAAAGAACGTCTCTTCTACTTTCCTTTCTTTTCTTTTTCCCCCGTATATTTTCTTTTTTCTTTCCATTTTTTTTTACAATTCGATCTCTGTTCTTTTAACGTTACGATTTCTATATTTATTTTATTTTTTGTTTTTATTATTTTTGCT